AGATTCTCATCTTGAGCTTTTATTGTGTTGAAGTCTGTTCCTTATTTGCCTAAGTATTTGGACTTTTATCAAGGCATGTTGGATTTTAAAAGGCTATTTCTGATTTTGTTAATTTGCATGTTCACTCTCTGCTGTTTGGTAAGTTTGGAAAAAGGTTTGTCTATCTTGTTGACTTTCTCAAAGAACCAACTCTTTGTTGCATTGATTCTTTGTATTGTTTTCCTAGTTTCTACTTTATTGATTTCAGTCCTCAATTTGATTATTTCCTGGCATCTACTCCTCCTGGGGGAGTTTGCTTCTTTGTGTTCTAGAGCTTTCAGCTGTGCTGTTAATTCTCTAGTATAACTGTTCTCCAGTTTCTTCATGTGGGCACTTAGTGCTATGAACTTCCCCCCGTAGCACTGCTTTCAAAGTGTCCCATAGATTTGGGTATGTTGTGTCTTCATTCTCATTGAATTCGAGGAGCTGGTTTAACCCCCAGAAACAGCTGACCTGACAAAGGTTAACTCTTGAATCCCAGGCATCAGCCTGGGAATCCAGCATGGGACTGATCAAGACCCCCTGAATGTGAGTGTCAGTGAGGAGGCCTAGGTAATCTATTGAGCCATGGGCAGCAGATCAGTACCCATAGCACTGGCTATCTTGCACTGGCTGTCTTCCAGAGGACCCATGTTCAATTCCCAGAATCTGCATTGTATCAAACACCTGAGTGTAACTCCTATTCAAGGACTTCCGACACACTCACACAGATTATACATGAAAACAACACAGCACGTAAGAAAAAAATAAATAAATCATTTTTACAAAAGGAACTAAAAAAGCAAAAATAACTAATACATGACTGTCATGATCCTCAGAGTTCTAGAGACTGATTCAGGAGGATAGGAAGCAAAGGACAGCTTGGGATATGTATGTATGTATGTATGTATGTATGTATGTATGTTTGTATATGTATGATGTTATCTTAAACAAAACAAAACAAAAGCAACAACAAAGCCAACACCAACAAAACTGCTGAGGAAAACAGTTTAGCCAGGCAGTGGTAGCACATGCTGTTAATCCCAGGCATCCAGAAGCAGAGGCAAGTGAATCTCTGAGTACAGAGCAAACTGGTCTACAGAGCTAGTTGAGGCACAGGATCCCAAGATCCAGAGAAACCCTACCTCAAAAAATAAAACAAACAAACAAACAAAAAGAAAATAGAAAAAACAAATCAAACAAAAAAGATGTATAACTCATCAAAAGACTATTTATCTAAAGTTTAATGACATTTGCATGTGAAACCATTTCTTCATTGCACAGATAAATGTTCATGGCAGCTAATCTTCGTATATATGCCTGTATTGTGCTTGCAAATATTGTATTGAATGGTCTTGGATCTATTTTCATCACGGACATTAACTTATTTGTTGTTGCTGTCTCTTTACCTGATATGCTATCACACTCATGCTGGCTCTGTAGAAGTAATTTGGTGGCGCCTCATATGTTGTTTTTTTTTTTTTTTTTTGCTTTGATACATTTTTTTTTTTTTAGCTTTTCAAGACAGGGTTTCTCTGTATTGTTTTGGAGCCTCTCCTGGAACTTGCTCGGTAGACCACGCTTGTCTTGAACTCATGGAGGTCGGCCTGCCTCTGCCTAACTAGTGCTGGGATTAAAGGCTAAAGGCATGTGCCATCTATGCCTGGCCTTACTTTGATACTTGAAGAAAGATAGATTAAGGCTCTCATTTGAATGTCTGCTAGTATTCTGTTCCAATCCTTCAAACCCTTGGGTGTTCTTTAGCCAGAGGGATTTTTAATTAACGTATCAAATTCTTCCTTTGTTATGGGTCTGTTTAGGTTGCTGACTATTCATTTTCCTTTTTGGAATTTGAGACAGGATTTCTCTATTCGGCCCTGACTTTCCTGGAACTCATTCCAGAGAGGAAGACTGCCTCTGCTTCCCAGATGCTTGTGCCAGTGCTGCTCAGCTTGTTTTTTACTTCATTTTTTTTTTTTTAGTTTTTCGAGACAGGGTTTCTCTATGGCTTCGCAGGCTGTCCTGGAACTAGCTCTTGTAGACCAGGCTGGCCTCGAACTCACAGAGATCCGCCTACCTCTGCCTCCCAAGTGCTGGGATTAAAGGCGTGCGCCACCAACGCCCGGCTTTTTTTATTTTTTACTTCATTTTTTCTTCCTTTTTTTCATTTAATTTAGAAACAAGCTTGCTTTACTTGTCAATCCAAGCTCCATCTTCCTCCCCTCCTCCTATGCCCAACCCCACCCAGGCCTCCCAGCCCCCACCCAATCTCCACTCAAATCCCAAGGGAGGGTGAGACCCTCCATGGAGGATCTCCAGAGTCTGTCATCTCATCCAGGACAGGGCTTAGGCCTTCCCCCAAGATTGCAGGCTGAGAGAGCATCTCTCACTGTGGGATGGGCACTCAAAGTCCATTTGTACACCAGGGATAAATACTACCCAAGGCCCCATAGACTGCATAGGCCTCCTCACAGACATCCACATACAGGAGGTCTGGATCAGTCCCATGCTTTCCACACAACCATCAATCTGGCTTACAAGAGCTCCCCCTTCTTCAGGTCAACTGTTTTTGTCGGTTAAACCAGCCTTGTCTTAACCCCTTTGCTCATCAGTTCTCCCTTTCTTTCACTGGATTCCAGGAGTTCAGTTCAGTGTTTGACAGTGGGTGTCTGCCTCTGCTAGCAAATCACTGGATGAAGGTTCTGTTTCCCAGAATCCCGGGCAGTAGGATTGTAGGCTGGCACTCCCCTGATTCATGTATAAAATCCATATATGAGTGAGTACATGCCATGTTTCCCTTTTTGTGACTGGGTTGCTTTACTCAGGATGGTTTCTTCTAGTGCCCTCCATTTGCCTGCAAATTTCAAGATTCCATTGATTTTTTCCAATGAATAGTATTCCATTGTGTAAATGTACCACATTTTCTCTATCTACTCTTCAGTTTTGGGGTACCTAGGTTGCTTCCAGGTTCGGGTATTACAAAGAATGTTGTATGAACATAATGAAACAGGTGTAGTTGTATGAATGTGTATCATTTGGGTATATGCCTAAGAATGGAACTGCTGGGTCTTGAGGTAGACTGAGTCCAATTTTCTTGAGGAATCACCATACTGATATCCAAAGTGGCTGTAGGAGTCGGCACTCCCACCAGCAGTGAAGGGGTATTCCCCTTTCTCTACTTTCTCTCCAGTATAAATTGTCACTGGAGTTTTTTTTTATTTTAGCCTTTCTGATAGGAGTAAGATGATATCTCAGAGTTCATTTGATTTTCATTTCCCTGAAGGCTAGAGATGCTGATCACTTTCTTAAGTGCCTCTCCGCCATTTTAGCCTCATCTACTGAGAATTCTCTATTTAGTTCTGTACCCCACTTTTTTATTGGATCCTTTGGTGGTTTGTAGACTTGCTTCTTGAGTTTTCTGTAAATTTTGGAGATCAGCCCTCTGTCAGATTTAGGGTTAGTGAATATTTTTCCCAAAATGTGGGTTGCCTTTTTGTCTTGCGGACTTTGTCATTTGCCTTGCAGAAGTAAAAATTCCTATGCTCATCAAGATGATATAGATAATGAACTATCTTCTATGCATTTGTCAAATGCAAATGAACTGGACATTGTTGATGAAATTGCCTGTATATATCGTATATATTTATTGTACTTATTGTGTATTGTTTTTCTTATGTTAGTCGTAGCATTCTTCTGTTTCCATTAGAGAAAAGAGGGGAATTGTGGTGATATACAATTTATACTTTATTAAATCTTACCTTAGGATTCAGAAAACAAAGCAAGCCTCCAGGTATAGAGGCACTGGTGATAACACACCTACTGTCCCAGGATGACTCAGAATTAAGAGGTAGAAGGATCTCTGTTACTTCAAGCACACACTGATTATTCAAAATAGATCCAGTTCTAAAGCAACAGCTTACATAAAGATGATATTGAAAGACCTCGGCATCAAAGCGCCAGGCACTGAACGTAACCCTATGCCCAAGAACCGGGGCCAGACCACTGGCTGCAAATGCAAGAGGTGATTTATTGAGTACACAGGCACCTGCGGATGCTACTGCAACTTGGGTGCAGAGCATACCGGGCTTGCAGGGAGTATAATATTTATAGAGTTTTAATGGTTACATAAGTATCAGCATAGCAACAGGCATTTCATTGGCTCATCTTCGGGGCAGGGGTAGTTCCCATGGACTAAGTTTCCTGGTATTACCTCATGAAAGACCCCAGCATGCTTCAGTAATTATTATCTGGGTCCCATGACTACTATGGTGATCATAGACACAACTGGGGGCAGGGGTAGGTGCCAAGGACTAGGTGTCCTGGTATTGCCACATAAAAGACCCTGGCACGCTTCAGCAATTATTATCTGGGTCCCATGACTGCTCTGGTGACCACAGATCCTGTTTGACATCCTGCCAGCTGGGCGAGGCACCTGGTCTGGGTTTTTTTTTCTATTAGGCAACAGCCTGGCCTTGCTTTTCTTTTCCTAGGGGACCCTGGGTAGGGGTCTTTCATTCCCCCCCTTGTTCTTGTGCATAGGTAGAATCTCATACCTATTGTCCAGCCCTCTCTACTTAAGGTTTACTTATGGTTATGTCTGTTTGAGGACATGGCATTGTTGAGTTAGGACTAAGGCTTGAATTACTGTTTGAGAATGCAGGGCCCAAAGGTTAGGAGGCTCATAAGAGTAGAGACTAGTGCAGCGAACCAGGGGGATTTGTTAAGCCAACCCTCATGCAAGTGTTGTTGGGATTTAAATTTTTTCTGATGAACAGTCAGCCTCTTCTTGAGTTTATCCAGAGTTTTGGTTACTACCCCAGTCTTGTCTGTATAAAAACAACATTCCTCTTTGAGAGTGGCACATATGCCTCCCTCTCTTATTATACTGTTCCCTATGTAGGAGAATTTTTTTTCTTTTGACTTAGCATCTCAACCAGGGAAAAGAGGGTGATGTATTCCTTTTCATGCTACTTCTTGCTGACTTTGGGACGAAGTTAGGGGACCCAAGAAGGCTGAAATGCAAGACAAAAGCAAAAAGGGAATTTAGGCAATGGGGTATCTATGCAGGAGCAGCTGATTGGCAGACTGTGTTGAAGAGACAGGGGGTGTCCACATCAGCTGAACTGGTTCACATCCACAGCAAGTCTAGGGCTCGCAGTCTTTAGGAGCAGGCTGTGGTCAGCAACTGATGTTCAGATGTGTTTGCCAGAAGTGGAAACCTGTTTAAGACATGTTTAAAACTGGGAACAGAAGTTAAAACTTAGAGTTTTAATTGGAACCCTTTAGACCCATAGTATTAGTGGTCAGGAAGGTCAGGAATCCCATGACCAGGAGAGAAAATCTCATTCTCAGGAACAGACAGGTGGGATAACATGCTGTACTTATCTGGAGTCCTCTTTGACTTGTGAGAAGTGGACCCAAGCTGTATGACTTTTGATCCTGTGAAGCCTATGCAAATTTTGTTATACAAAAGGACATAAAGGTTATAGGTACATTAGCATTATCAATTGGTACTGAAATCTATATTGTAGAAAAAGCAAATATCTGGGTATCTGTATTTTGCGTCCTAGCAGAAACTACAGATTTGGGCTAGTAGTGTACATTTGTCTTCTGTCCAGGGAGCCAGGTATGAATTGGACAGAGGTATCTTTAGCCTGATGAAAAGCTCTTTAAGTTTATATTTAGATGATAACCAAAATAAACCTAAAAACCTTGAGCTTGTGATTGAACAAGTATTTACATCCTTTGATCCTTATTGAGACATATTAAGGCTTGCTACCAAGCTGACTATAGTCTTGTGGATATGGCTGCCTGATGTCAAGCTGACAACCATTAATACTTTTAGAGATCTGAGAAGGATAAATTTTATACAGTCTCTGAATCTATTAAAAAGTGCCAGGTACCAGTCCATATACAGTCATACCCAAGTCTCCTTTATTAGCACCGGAGGCACAAGTATCAGGAACAGCATCAATCTTTACCAGGCCTGTAAGGTGAGATTTCTTTCTCTCTGTGGAAGAGGGACATGGAAAAGACTGACCTTGTTTTGTCTCGGCAAAAGGGGTGCAATCAATTTTCCAGTGTCCAGCAGCTTTGTCCACATTCTGGGCCAGGTCCTGGCAGCAGCAGGTGTCACCTTTAAGCATCTTGCTCACTGGTCAGAGTCAACACAATCCAGGTGCAGGGACCGGGGTCTCTCGTAATCTTCTTTGGAGACTTTGTGTCACTGTTAGGATCTGGCTGTCTGTCTGATATTATAAACTTTTAAATTAACATTTTAAATGTCATGTTCTGCAGGTCTCTGAAGTATTAGAGGTTTGTCTGCCTTAAGCTTAACTGTTGAAAGTATAAACTTTATTAACCTTTATAAAACTAGAACTTTATATTGTCAGGTCTAGCTTTAAACATTTTAACAGTATAAATATCTTATAACCTTATAAATTGAAAACATTTTAAAAACTGTTCTGAAATCCCTTAATGTTTTTTTAATATTGAAAATTAAAATATATTTTAGGCCTTTAAAACCATTATTATTATCTGGGTGACTGTTAAATTATAAAACTTAGCATTCCTGTGTATAAAAGCATTAACATTTTAAATCTGAAGAAAAACTTGTTGATAGGATGTACCTCATAACTTCCATGTGGTCACCTTTAGTTAAGATGGTGGATCAGGTATCTCTTTTAACTTTAGTAAAATGGCTACCAGTCAGCCATGTGGCCAGCTTGCCATGTGACTGACTGTAAAATGGTGGCGACCTGCACCACTTTTGTTTTAGCTCTATGCTTGCAATAAAACTTATATTATGACAGAAAATACAGATAGAACTTTTAAACAAAACAAGCATAGAAAGGAAACATCATAGTAAACAGTTTACATTTTTCTTTTTCTCTTGTAGTTATAACTTTAAGGCCATTCCGTCTCTGTGGGAAGACCGGATCTGGCTAAATGGCTTACCTTCTCCAGCCCTGTGTGCTTGGGCAGGGAGCTCTGGTGGAGGGAAAAGCTGGCAGATGGCTCCTTTGCCAGCACACCATGTGTGTGGGGCAGAGAGTGAGAGAGAGAGAGAGGTCCCCATCCTCACATCCTGCACACCTCAAAGGCAGGCAGGTGAGGGTGGAGCAGGCTCAACCTGGGAGGGCTGCAGCAGCAGTTGGAGAACAGAGCAGCTGCCTCACTGCATGCTCAGAGATAGGAGACCCTGCTGTAGTATGCTCTAACCCATGGCACATAGTGGGAGGGACTTTTGCCCAGCATGTCATGTGTTCAGGGCAGCAAGAGAAGACCCCTGAGCTGTACCACGTGTATAGGCAGGCAAGACCAGAGACAGAGGGATAAGATGGGCCACTGACTAGCTAGGCTTGGCCAAAGTCCTCAGCCATAGGACCAACTTATAAAAAGAATTGTTTATAAAAAAATTGGCATGCAACAGCTGTCTTAATGTGAAAGTCATCTTATCAACAGACTATTGTAAGGATAGTCATCCAGGGTTGAAAAATTATTTATCCTGAACATGAAAACCTATTAACAAATTTAAATTAACTTTACAAAACTTGTTATTTGTAGTTTTCCCCTTGCAAGATTTAAAAAGTCTATGAGAAGCGCATCATCTGGGGGTAGATGATGATCTGGAGCTGGGACAGGGACCAAGGGTGCAGAAAGGGGGAGGGGAGAAGCAGATGGTTTTCTCTGAGACTTCCTTCAGAGGAGGTAGGAGAGTCACAAACGGGGCTGCCCATGTCGGGGGGTTTGTAGCCAAATTTTCCCAAATAACAATGTATGCTATCTGTTCCAGGAGTCCATGGGGTCCCTTGTCAAAGACACGATCCTAAACCTGTAAGATAATTTCTAGGTTAAAGGTCCCATGTCATGGCCAGCTCCCATCAAAGGTTGGCCACTCAGATGTGCAGTTTATACTGGTTAGAGGCACGAATCTGAACTTCATTTCAGTGATCTAAAGTAAGGCTCAAAGGGGTGGTTATGGTTTGTCCCATGCTTGAATCAGAAAACTCAAAATACAAAGACAAGTAGACGAACAAGACAAATAACACAATTAAGCAACTCACGACCAGACACGCTGTGCGCTTTCAGTGGAGAACCGAAAGTAAATACTCAGATGGGTCAACAGGAGTAGTCGTCCAGTTTTTCCCTTTTCAGGCCCATGAGCTCCAAACCATTGAGCTTCCAGATCCCTGGCGCATCTGCCAGGGTGCCGGGGGGAGAAGTCTGGGCTCCTCAGCCCCTTCTCAAGCCGCCCTAATTACTGAATGACTACGTAGCCAACCTTTGGAATACTGCACGGAGACAGATCAACATACATACATATAACAAAGAACAAAGTGGACAGGGTGCCAGCTAGCTTACCTCCTGGTGGCACTGGTGGTTCTGGGGCAGAAATCTCGGTGGGACCTCCAATGAAAGACCTCGGCATCAAAGCGCCAGGCACTGAACGTAACCCTATGCCCAAGAACCAGGGCCAGACCACTGGCTGCAAATGCAAGAGGTGATTTATTGAGTACACAGGCATCTGCGGATGCTACTGCAACTCGGGTGCAGAGCATACCGGGCTAGCAGGAAGTATAATATTTATAGAGTTTTAATGGTTACATAAGTATCAGCATAGCAACAGGCATTTCATTGGCTCATCTTCGGGGCAGGGGTAGTTCCCATGGACTGTTCCCTGGTATTACCTTATGAAAGACCCTAGCATGCTTCAGTAATTATTATCTGGGTCCCATGACTACTATGGTGATCATAGACACAACTGGGGGCAGGGGTAGTTGCCAAGGACTAGGTTTCCTGATATTGCCACATAAAAGACCCTGGCACGCTTCACCAATTATTATCCGGGTCCAATGACTGCTCTGGTGACCACAGATCCGGTTTGACATCCTGGCAGCTGGGCGAGTCACCTGGTCTGGGCTTTTTTTCATTAGGCAACAGCCTGGCCTTGCTTTTCTTTTCCTAGGTGGCCCTGGGTAGGGATCTTTCAATATCTGCACTTGGGATCACAGGCCTTTAATCCTAGGACTCAGGATTAAGTAGACAGGTCCCTATTAGTTTAATGACACACTGACTACTAATAAATGCAACAGCTCACACTAAGTGATCTCAGCACTTGGGATCAGAGGCCTTTAATCCTAGCACTAGGGAGTTGTAGACAGGAGGATACAACTTGGCACAGAATGGAATATGATGAGGAGACAGGATTGCCATGTCAGCTGGGTAGAAGTAAGATCTACTGCATTAGTTGTTTTGCTTCTCTGATCTGCAGCTTCAAGCTTGAAGCTCAGAATCTGTCTCTGGGTCTTTTATTTATTGTGATACATTTTATGGAGCACAAGTTGTTAAATTAATGATATATAATTTTGTTTATAATATTAAAATATCCTGGATTCCTTTGGTAACAATTGTAATGTGTCCCTCTTCATCTCCGATTCAGCTACTTGAGTCCCCTCTTGCATTCTTTAGGTTAGTTGGGCCAAAGTTCTGTCAGTCTTATTTATTTTTCCTCAATATCACTTCTAAAATTTGTTGATTCTATTGCTTCTATTTGTTAAATGTTTGTTGTTGATTTTGTTTTTGTTTTTCATAGCATGGTTTCTCTGTTTTCAGCCTATCCTGGAACTCATTGTATAGACCAAATTGGCTATAGTTCAAAAGTCATGCTTCTGCCTCCTCCCTACTCAGATTGAAGGTGTGCACCACAAGACATGCTTTCTCTTTCATTGTTACTCTGATTTTTATTATCTCTTGCTGCCCACTGCATTTGGATTTAGTGTAATTTTGTTTCCTAGTATTTCATTTGAATCACAAAAATAATTTTTGTGTTTTTCAGGTTTTTATTCTAGTCACTCAGAGTTTAAAATTTCTTTCATATGATTGGTTTCAATGTGTCCCAGAAGTTGTGATGTGGTTTGTTGTAAATATTTTTCATTCCAGGAAATTATTCTTTTCTTCCTTCCCTCCTTCCTTCCTTCCTTCTTTCCTTACTTTGTTTTATTTTTTCCTTGACCCATTAATTCCATAAGAAGTTCTTTTAATATTTATCAGGCTTGGACATCACTGGAATTTTAGTCACTTTTTAGTTTTATTGCAATGTGTTCAGACAGTGTAAAAGGCTCAATTGCTCACCATTGTTGGCTTCAATGTGTTATGAAGTCATGAGATTTTGGGGCTCACTCTCACTGATCATCAAGTTGTGAGCCATTCCTTTTTCAGAAAAGAGACAGGGTTTCTCTGTATTGTTAAGAGGCTCTTCTAGAACTCACTCTGTAGACCACTGTGACCTTGAACTCACAGAGATTCGCCTGCCTCTGCCTCCCGGTTGCTAGGATTAAAGGCGTTTGACACTAACACCTGGCTCAGAAAACTTTGTATACGTGTGTGTGTGTGTGTGTGTGTGTGTGCGTGTGTGTATGTGTGTGTGTGTCTGTGTGCCTGTGTGTTTTATATATTTTTATTTTTAAATTTAAATTAGAAACAAGGTTGCTTCACATGCCAATCATTATCATACCAGGTACCTACCCATGCTCTATTTGGAAGTATTCAAGAGCATACAGACTGACCAGACCCTTTTATAGGAAAAGACACTGAACAGGTGCTCAAGAAAATACATTGCTGATGTCATACACCCAAACCACCCTTACTATAATTTCACCAAACTGATACCTCTTAGGAAGGAGTGAGGGGAATTCATGAAATGCCTATTAGTACATGCTACTTAGATGAGAAACCAAGTGTACAGAGGCTACAAGGAAAAGATTTTCCTGTGATAGATTGGGATCTAGGGAAAGAAAGGAGATGAGCAAAGAAAACTTACAAATATTTTAAAGTTTTTTTTTACACTTTAAATGGGTATTAAATTATAAGAGGATACTAACTCCAATTGCATAATGAGTCTACAAACCTGGACAATGTCAATGGATCTAGAGTTCAAGATTAGCCTTCCCTATTTTGACCCTGTCTCCAAAAGCTCAAATGAACCAAAGAAACTAATATGCACATTACTATGAATGCTCATTCCTCATTAAAAACAAACTAAACCAGATTTAAAAATATTAGAATGTGTCCTTGGAATTTTAAAGCCATGATCTGGAAATGTAGCTTAGTTGGTGAAAAGGCTTGACCATTATGTACTAAGATTACCAATGGAGGTGAATGTCTTTCCTGATATGGACAGAGTTTGTGTGTGTGTGTGTGTGTCAGTGTGTGTGTGTCTGTGTGTGTCATTTCAGTGTCTATGTATATGTTTTATTGTGTTTGGTTATTTGAGTGACTAGTGAGTTTCAGGGTAGCCAAAGGCTACAAAATTAGATTTGTCTCAAAACAACAAAACAAAAACCCAACACTAAACAAAAACACACCCCATGAATATGTTGCAGATGAGAAAGAGCTGAGATGGGTATCGGGAACCTGGAGTCCTCCCTAGCAAGTACTTTAGAATGATCAAGAGTAAGATGGAAAGTTTATCTCAAAGAGTAAATCAACAGCAAAGCATGATGTGATAGAAGTCAACCAAACACTAATCTTTATTAATACCCCAGTGTCATCCTGCATAGGGTGCATACTCTTTATCTTAACATTCAATAGGCTAAGGGAGGAGGTTTTCTGTGAGTTTCGGGCACACAAACTTTTCTTGAGGAAAACAATAGAAACCAAGTGCCTCAAATGGTCTTTTTTTTCCTTTTTCTGAAATGGACTTTTAGAACAAACCACTTACCCAGCAATCCTAAGAAGGCTCCATAATTACAGTACTTGCTCCCATGAAGACTTAAGTTTGATGTCTGGAACCCAGGAGAATAGACTCCTGAAGGTTTCCTCTGAACTCCACATGGGCAACATGGCAAATGCCCCCATAAATATGATTAATTGAAAAAAACCTTTTATTTGCTGATATATTATTAATAATTTAATAAAGATTGCCTGAAGAATCAAAATTCAAAGCCAGCCATGCTATTCAGATGTACAAGCTGGGCAGAGTTGGCACATACCTTTAATCCATGGACTCAGATAACAAAGGATCTCTGTGAGTCAGAAGACACCCATGATTGCACAAGCTTGAATCAATGTGAAAGAGAACCAGCTCATACAAAGGTAATCTCAACACTAGGGATCTTGCTCCTTTAATCACATCACTAAGAAACACCAAAAGCAAAGAGTCTCAGGTGTAGATCTAGTCTCAAGCCAGTTTGATGAGAGAAAGTAGTGTTAGGTGTGGAGGAGAAATCCTGGAGACGGATCAGCCTTCAGCCTGAGTTAGAAAAAGAGCTAGTGTCTTGGCTACTGTGCTTTTCTGATCTTCAGTTTGCAGCTTGAACCCCAATATCTTTCTCTGGGTCTTTTATTAATTTGTGTTACATTATTTAAATTTCCTTTCCCAACAGCAGGGAACCACGGTGCTAAGACTGGTCGCTAAGAAATCTGCTGGGCACATGTCATTGCCACATCTGCAGCCAGTGAGAGAGGGATGCAGTATCAGGAGTTTTATGTCACCACTGCCTATGAGTAACTTCTATCCCAGTGGGAAAAGCACTAGAGCCTCTAAAAATGAATGGAAGGAAGAGAGGGAAGGAAGGAGCAATTGTTATATCAAGGTTCCTTGAGAGAAAAATCCCGAAAAATGATTCAATTAGAAATCAAATGAAGCTGAGAAAGTTGGTATAAAACTTTAATCTCACCACTGGAGAGGCAGAGGCAGGAAAATCTCTGTGTTGAAGGTCAGCCTCATCTACAAAGTGAATTCCAGGATAACCAAAGTTACATCTCAAAACACCAAAAAGGGGGAAAATCCAGACAGGTAGGAACAGAGGAAAAAAGAAAGAAAGAATCAAATTAAATTCTGAGTCTGGAATCTGTTCTCCTCCATATGTGTCCTCGAGATCAATCTCACCTCACCATGCTTAGTATGTGACTTTACATCCTGAGGCATCCTGTTGGCCCATCCAGGTTTTTTTTTAAAGAACCACTTAGGCACTGGTATCTTTTTCACCCCATATTCTCCCTTCTCCAATTATCCTCTTGCCCTTCCTTTCCTTCTCAATTCCATGACGGATTGCTTAGCAACATGGGGGGGAGGGGTCTGGAGTTTCTTTGTGTTCAGTTTTGTCCCTAGGCTCTAGGAGGCCACAAAATCTAGATTTTCCTAGCCGGGCGTTGGTGGCGAACACCATTAATCCCAGCACTCAGGAGGCAGAGGCAGGTGGATCACTGTGAGTTCGAGACCAAGCCTGGTTTACTGATCGAGTTCCAGGACAGCCTCCAAAGCCACAGGGAAACCCTGTCTCGAAAAACCAAAAAAAAAAAATCTAGAGTTTCCTTAGCAGTCTCTCTCTCTCTCTCTCTCTCTCTCTCTCTCTCTCTCTCTCTCTCTCTCTCTCTCTCTCTCTCTCTCTCTCTCTCTCTCTGTGTGTGTATGTGTGTGTGTGTCTGTGTGTGTCATTTCAGTGTCTATGTATATGTTTTATTGTGTTTGGTTATTTGAGTGACTAGTGAGTTTCAGGGTAGCCAAAGGCTACAAAATTAGATTTGTCTCAAAACAACAAAACAAAAACCCAACACTAAACAAAAACACACCCCATGAATATGTTGCAGATGAGAAAGAGCTGAGATGGGTATCGGGAACCTGGAGTCCTCCCTAGCAAGTACTTTAGAATGATCAAGAGTAAGATGGAAAGTTTATCTCAAAGAGTAAATCAACAGCAAAGCATGATGTGATAGAAGTCAACCAAACACTAATCTTTATTAATACCCCAGTGTCATCCTGCATAGGGTGCATACTCTTTATCTTAACATTCAATAGGCTAAGGGAGGAGGTTTTCTGTGAGTTTCGGGCACACAAACTTTTCTTGAGGAAAACAATAGAAACCAAGTGCCTCAAATGGTCTTTTTTTTCCTTTTTCTGAAATGGACTTTTAGAACAAACCACTTACCCAGCAATCCTAAGAAGGCTCCATAATTACAGTACTTGCTCCCATGAAGACTTAAGTTTGATGTCTGGAACCCAGGAGAATAGACTCCTGAAGGTTTCCTCTGAACTCCACATGGGCAACATGGCAAATGCCCCCATAAATATGATTAATTGAAAAAAACCTTTTATTTGCTGATATATTATTAATAATTTAATAAAGATTGCCTGAAGAATCAAAATTCAAAGCCAGCCATGCTATTCAGATGTACAAGCTGGGCAGAGTTGGCACATACCTTTAATCCATGGACTCAGATAACAAAGGATCTCTGTGAGTCAGAAGACACCCATGATTGCACAAGCTTGAATCAATGTGAAAGAGAACCAGCTCATACAAAGGTAATCTCAACACTAGGGATCTTGCTCCTTTAATCACATCACTAAGAAACACCAAAAGCAAAGAGTCTCAGGTGTAGATCTAGTCTCAAGCCAGTTTGATGAGAGAAAGTAGTGTTAGGTGTGGAGGAGAAATCCTGGAGACGGATCAGCCTTCAGCCTGAGTTAGAAAAAGAGCTAGTGTCTTGGCTACTGTGCTTTTCTGATCTTCAGTTTGCAGCTTGAACCCCAATATCTTTCTCTGGGTCTTTTATTAATTTGTGTTACATTATTTAAATTTCCTTTCCCAACAGCAGGGAACCACGGTGCTAAGACTGGTCGCTAAGAAATCTGCTGGGCACATGTCATTGCCACATCTGCAGCCAGTGAGAGAGGGATGCAGTATCAGGAGTTTTATGTCACCACTGCCTATGAGTAACTTCTATCCCAGTGGGAAAAGCACTAGAGCCTCTAAAAATGAATGGAAGGAAGAGAGGGAAGGAAGGAGCAATTGTTATATCAAGGTTCCTTGAGAGAAAAATCCCGAAAAATGATTCAATTAGAAATCAAATGAAGCTGAGAAAGTTGGTATAAAACTTTAATCTCACCACTGGAGAGGCAGAGGCAGGAAAATCTCTGTGTTGAAGGTCAGCCTCATCTACAAAGTGAATTCCAGGATAACCAAAGTTACATCTCAAAACACCAAAAAGGGGGAAAATCCAGACAGGTAGGAACAGAGGAAAAAAGAAAGAAAGAATCAAATTAAATTCTGAGTCTGGAATCTGTTCTCCTCCATATGTGTCCTCGAGATCAATCTCACCTCACCATGCTTAGTATGTGACTTTACATCCTGAGGCATCCTGTTGGCCCATCCAGGTTTTTTTTAAAGAACCACTTAGGCACTGGTATCTTTTTCACCCCATATTCTCCCTTCTCCAATTATCCTCTTGCCCTTCCTTTCCTTCTCAATTCCATGACGGATTGCTTAGCAACATGGGGGGGAGGGGTCTGGAGTTTCTTTGTGTTCAGTTTTGTCCCTAGGCTCTAGGAGGCCACAAAATCTAGATTTTCCTAGCCGGGCGTTGGTGGCGAACACCATTAATCCCAGCACTCAGGAGGCAGAGGCAGGTGGATCACTGTGAGTTCGAGACCAAGCCTGGTTTACTGATCGAGTTCCAGGACAGCCTCCAAAGCCACAGGGAAACCCTGTCTTGAAAAACCAAAAAAAAAAAAAATATAGAGTTTCCTTAGCAGTCTCTCTCTCTCTCTCTCTCTCTCTCTCTCTCTCTCTCTCTCTCTCTCTCTCTCTCTCTCTCTCTGTGTGTGTGTGTGTGTGTGTGTGTGTGGCTGTGTGTGTGTCTCTAAAAGAATGCTGGAAATAGAAAAACGGGGGAAAAGATCATGCACTACAAATGCAAGCATAACCCACAGAATACAAGTGATGGAAGAGAGAATCTCAGGTGTTGAAGACACACTAGAAGATATAGATACATCGACCAAAGAAGTGACAAATTCAACAAATCACTAACACAAAACACACAGGAAATATGGGACACTGTGAAAGGACCAAAACTAAGAATAGTAGGTATAGGAGAAGGTGAAGAAAGCCAAATAAAAGGAGAATAAAACATATTCAAAAAATCACAGAAGAAAACATTCCTAACCTAAAGAAAGACATGCCAATGAAGGTACAAGAAGCTTACAGAACACCAAATAAAGTGGATCACAAGTTTCTTGGGAACTGTTTGGCCACAAAAGAAACTCCAGGGGGGTCAAAAACATCCCCTGTATTCTCCAGGATATAATTATGAAAACTATTGGACAACTGGAAGTAACAAGACAATGCCATAGAAACCACAGAATGTTCCCTCTCAGCACTGACCAATGAGAATAATTGGTACACAGGTATTTCATTCTAAAATATGACTGAGAAATTCTCCTAATTGTTCCCAAATATCAACCAATCAGAAACCAAGCCATACCTACTGATGTAATCCTGTAACTTTTGTGAATAAAACCTAGCAGTAGACAGGGAACTTCACTCACTCTGGAGGCTGCTGTGACAGTTTCCAGACAGTGTCTCTGTTATGGTTAGATGAACAATCATTAAAACCTTGCTTTTGAAGTTTGGTGTGTATTCCTGGTGGAAGAAAGACTGTCAAGACAAGGCAGGACAGTCCTTCGTTATCCTGCTTTACAGAAAAGTCTGTCAAAGATGCTAGCCCTATATGCCAAAGATGGGATTCCCCAACACTGAATAAGAACCTTGGATGTCTATCTATCCTGCCAGTTGTTTTGTAAGTTGCTTACTTGCACTTTCTGATTACTCAGATAACATTATTTCCTTCTCAGGTCTTTGAAGTAATTGAAGACTAGCTATAGTTTCCATTGTTTAAAAGACTCATAAAAGAAACTCACTAAGGAGTTTGAGATACATTAAAAGATATTTTGATAATGCAAATTAGAATAGAAAGTAAGTTAGGTACAATAATTTTACTCAACAAGATAAAATAGATAATGAACTATCTTCTCTGAAGTTGTGAAATGCAAATGAACTAGACATTTTTGATGAAATTGTTGCTGTATATGTTGTATATAATTATTATACTTATTGTACATTGTTTTTCTTACATTAATTGTACCCTTCTTCCTTTTGTTTTAGTTCAAGGAAAAAGAGAGGGAAAAAAGAGAAAGGGAGAGGAGGACTTGAGGTGCAGGAAGGTTAAGTTTTGAGAAGAATAGAGGATAGCAGGATGAGAGACACCATAATAGAGGGAGCTATTCTAGGTTTGAGGGGAGATCTGGCACTAGTGAAATCT